CCTTCGTGGCGCCATTCCAGCAGCCGATGCAACACTCGCACTGCAGAGACCGAGGTACGTCCGTTATCGTGGGTGACGAAATAGCAGGGTTTGGAGTTAGTATTGGTAGGGGGAATTTGGGGATTTTTCAGGACCTTTCTCTTGTGCTTTATGCTTCATGAAATAATCTGACAGAGTACCCTTTCCTTAACCATTAATCGTCCAGAGACACAGCAAGTGTAACTGCCCCTTAATCGGGACAGAGCGCGTACCAGTGTATCGGAATCCATGGATGAATCCCCCGGCCGACTTCCGGTAATCGAGCGAGTGCGCGATAGTCCCGGCGAAGTAGAGGCCCGGGATGCGGTCGGCTTCGTACGAGAACTTGATAGCCGGGTACTTGGTCTTCTTGATGGACTTGCTCGGCATGGACGAGCTGGAATTGAAACAAGTTGAGATCGAAGCAGAAACGATGCTCCAAACTAACCTAATTTCACAGGATAACAAGTAATACTTGTGCCGGAATTGATTGTTTTGTCTACCCAAGGAACTGGTCAGACCTGCTCGCCTGCCTTGTTCACTATGATGTGGTGGCAGTCCGGTTCGAAATCAGAGGCCAGCGTCATTCGCTCCGTTCCCCTCCCATCAAGATTTCTAAGCATTTTCCCCCATCCTTTACTCGAACCATCATACTCCCTCTCTCCCTCAGTCGAATGCCTTCTCCAGTCGAAATCCAGTTAGTCCAATCTCTACCACTTCCCTGATGCCTTCCCCTCCTCCTTCATACTTTACCTGTCTCACCAAGTAATCTATGTGTTCCACCCCATCTTCTACCACATTCTCTCCTTCACCTCTCCCTCTTCTCTTAGGACATCTATCCCCTTCCCTCCTCCTACAAGAAAACCTTTGTTTCTTAGACATTCCCACCCAACTCCCCTCCAGAAGCGCTTGAAGATGACCTAAGAGAATGCTTCACTTCCTCATCCATCCTCTATTCCTGTTCCCTCTACATTCAAATTATTTGCTGATATCCACCCTCCATCTCCTAAAGTTCCTCCTACCCCTCTTCATCCCACTCTCCCCTGAAACACCCCATCCTCTTCTCCATGTGCATCACCATTCCCTCATCTTTCCCCGTTACCATTACCGCTCCCACCTGGATGCTCACGTGACTCCTTTATGCCTTTATGCCCTCCTCTGGAACCTTCACCTCCTGACATTCTTCCTAATAGTTCACCTCCTTCCCCTGTTCCCTTATCTCATTCCCCGGATTCTTCTCCTCCTATTTGTCCAACACCCATCTCTACCTGTATTACCCACTGATTGTTTCATAATGGCCCCTTGTGCTAGTTTTCCCAAAACAATGTTCCTCTTCCTTCCTGAGACAAAGATACTCTCCTTTCATCCAGTCACCCTACACCCTTAACACTTTCCTTTCTTACTAATCTCCGCTTTACTTCATTTGCTCCCTTTTTTCCCTTTTCACTACCATACCATCTTATTACACTCTCTTCGACACCCTTTGACATCTGCCACATTTTATCCTAATCGTTAACTTAGTTTTACTCTTTTCGCCACAACACTTTACCCTAGTGTTATATGACCTTTGATATCTAGCACATTTATTTGTTTTAACCAACTGGATATCGCAACTATCATCACTGAGCTGGGTAGATTATATATTTATATTAGAATATACAAAAAAAAAAAAAAAAAAAATATCCACAGCATTTGGATGAATATATAGATATAAATATAAATATAAATATGCATACATACATACATACATACATACATAACATACATACATACATACATACATACATACATACATACATACATACATACATACATACATACATACATACATACATACATACATACATACATACATACATACATACATACATACATACATACATACATACATACATACATACATACATACATACATACATACATACATACATACATACATACATACATACATACATACATACATACATACATACATACATACATACATACATACATACATACATACATACATACATACATACATACATACATACATACATACATACATACATACATACATACATACATACATACATACATACATACATACATACATACATACATACATACATACATACATACATACATACATACATACATACATACATACATACATACATACATACATACATACATACATACATACATACATACATACATACATACATACATACATACATACATACATACATACATACATACATACATACATACATACATATATATATATATATATATATATATATATATATATATATATATATATATATATATATTGTTGATTACTTTCTGAAAATGGGGCTCGTGAGTTGAAAGAGAACATCTTAAAATGAAAGAGAGCTTGTGTAGTTAAACATACCTTACAGAATACAGCGCCTCTTTACTGAAGCAGAGCTTATGTAGTTAAGAATAATTTACTGAGCATGGAGTTTACTTGTTGATGCAAAACTTGTGTGTTTAAATAGAAGTTTCTGAATATGGTTGCAGTCGAGCTTGCAAAGATAAACATACTTTACTGAGCACGAGGCTTACTTGTTGAAAATGGAGAAGTCGAACTTGAAACCGAGGCAGCGGATGACGTAGTCGTAACCTTCGCGTAGCGAGAAGTTGTCGAAGTCGTTCTCGGTCGGGATCTCCTCGCCACGCTCTGCCGACGGAACAGGAAGTCGTGAATTATCATTCGGAACGAAAAAAAGTGCCACCTACTGGAGTCAGGTGCACGTCTTTGGGAATTCCTGTTTGCTAAGCGGTAAAATTCTACTGGGCGATTACAGACGCCCATGAGCTTAAATATTGCCATGGAAGCAGCATTTCTAACTCTTTAGTGAATCTATATCCTTCGCAGGAGGAAATAAGTTCACTAAGAGCGAAGCACCGACCTTTCTTGGCCTGGATCTGCCTGAGCGAGTCGGCCTCCCACGGGAACTGTACGTAGATGCGGCCGGCGCGTCGCTCGAGCGCCATGTCCTCCACGCCCGCCTCCAGCAAGCCGTCCAGGGACTTCAGTTGGTACGTGTCCAGGAGCCCGTTGTTGATGGCCCTGCGGGGGAGGGAAGTCACTGAGCACGCAGGTCTATACTTCTAACAGCCACAATGATCTGGGATGCACTAGGGTGTCACGTTTTGACTGAACTCCTCAGTCGGTAAAATCGAAATGAAAATAAAAAGCAGACAAAGAATGTAACAGAAGAGATCTGAGATTAATAATCTTAAGTGAAAGGCAAAAATTTCTTCCGAAGGAATTTGACAAAGAATTTATAAGTTCAGCCGGCGATTTTGCTGTTAATAGTGTTGCCTGTGACAGGAGATTGCCCAGAACTGGATAAGGGAAATGCAAAGCAATGCTAGCTTTTCCTCCTTATTAAATGGAGGACCTAACAGGACAAAAGCACGCTGCTACAGCAGACCTTGGAGCTATGTGGTGTAGGCAAAGAATTTCCTTTTCTCAGATGAATGCATCGGATTTAAAATAAAATTGGATAGTTAATCTTGCCATTTTTTTTTTTTTTTTTTTTATGAAACTTACACATTTGCAGATCGTATAGTCTGCGAAAGGCTCATTTCATAGCCCTAAGATAATTAACAGCTTTGGTTGGCTTAAGATTGACTATTTACTACACATTCAAGTCAGAATGATTCAGAAAAATAAAATATTATCAACCTAAAATATCTAAACCAGTGGTTCTCCATCTTGATGCCACAAGATTCTGATTTCGGAAATATTGTCTAAATTTGAGATCGTTCTCACTCTTCGGGTAAACAAGGTTATTTGAGCACGTACCCTGCGTTTATTTTGTTTCGAGCATTAGTAAGTCGTGGAGCAGGCGAAGATCCACTTTGTTGTCATCATAAATTCGTGGCGACGTCAGCAGCTAATGCCCAAAAAGCACTTCTCTAGACCTTGCTAATGCCTTGATGAGGAAAATGAGACTAGGAATAAAAGATAAGGACGTTTGCGCCCATTTACGGCAGTACAAAGACGCAATAGCACTGGGCTTACATACAGCAATGGGAAGGGAATTGCAGTGAGACACGGTAACACGACTCCTTTCTGTATGAATCACATACTGATGCACATGGGAGCGCCCGCGAGGAAGGACAAGTGAATGGACGTGGGGGGAGGGTAGTAAATGGGAGAAGACAGGGGCAAGTGAATGATTAGGGAGAGAGGCAAATGGACAGGCGAAGGGAAAGGCAAGTGAATGGGGGAGAGGAATATGAATGGTCGAAGGAAAAGTCACGAGCAGAGCACGTCAGATTTGACTCACCTGAGGTCTCCCACGTAGTGCGTGTTCCACGAGAGCCTCGCCCGGGAGCGGGACACCATGTGGACCATGTTGGTGCTACCGTAGATGGCGTCGGCCGTCTCAAAGGCGGCATTGCCTAGCGAGGAGAAAAACAAAGAGGAGTAGAGAGCGGAACGAAAGCGCAGGGGATTCGAATGTGCAAGGTAACTGCCTCTGGAAAAATATGCAGGATCAGATTTCCACGACAGCTGATTTCTTCTTTAAACTCACTCTGTTGTGTGGAAAGAAAACTAAAGGGTTTCTATCTGATGTTGAATAGTATTTTGATAAGTCTAGAGTGGAAAGACCAAGACGTCAGGGAAGGAGGCCGAATCCAGCGGCATGAGGAGGTTTCACATAATTCACCCGCTGGCGTCACGACGTAAGCCTCTTTCAATCAACGCCATTTATACCAGGAATGTTTCATTTGATCACTATGGCCATTGCAGTGATTTAGAGATCACACTAAGGGTAACTTTTCAGAGCACCGTCGCGGTTCCCGCCGAGAGACAATGTATCTTAAATTTAATGAGATTATTTCAATATCTCACTGTATTATCAAAATAATTGTATCTTTTTTGTCCAATATACTGACAAAATCTAAGCATACAATTTAGATATAATGTATATATGTAACTGGAACCAAGGGCGAAGCCA